GAAATCTGCTGCTATTTGTTGCATCGTTAGGCCCATTGCTTCTGTCTTTTCTTGTACCAATGAGATATTCTCGTAACGCACTTTGATTAATTTCATTTTCTGCACCGTTTTGGAACCCAACAGTGGCGTGCAGTCGTTATTGACAACAACAAACTCTGTTTCGCATTCTTCATCAACCTTGGGATTTACCAGATTAACACGACATTTACCAATGGTTTCCATTTTCGATCCGTTAAACATGCTGAGGACTTGTTTCGAATGCGCGATCGGGCACTCGTTCGGTAAATCGTTTTTGCTTATCACATTACAGGTGCCGCCACTGTCGACTTGAAAACGAACGGGATGACCTTTGATCTCCATTGTTGCGAAGATTTTCGATTTGATGGGTTGACTACTGACACTTTTGACACTTTGTTCTTCCAGATTTTCGGATGAAATCGTGAAGCAGTACTCTTCATCGCTCGAATCCTGCGAAGTTTTTGCGTCTCGCACTCGGTGAATCCGTTCTTTTCTTCGTTGTCGCCCACCAAGTTTCTGTTTACATAGCTTGGCGAAGTGATTTGTTTTGCCGCATTTCGCACATTCTTTTCCGAACGCTGGGCATTTATCTCTTGATCTCTCGTGTTTTCTGCCGCAGTATTTGCAATTAACTAACTTAGGACTGGCGTCTCTGCCGTCTTTTTCTCTTTGTGGTTGAGTGCGTTGACTTCTTCTCTTCCACTCATGACTTTCATTTGCGATGCAGTTGTTTCGGCTGATCGACATACATCGATACACTTCTGAAGATTTAATTTGGGCTCTTGTAGTAATTTCTTCCTAGTTCCCGTGTCACAAATTCCACAGACGATCCTATCACGAATTAATTCGTCGGTGAGTGGACCAAAATGCACGTTTTCGCGAGAGTTTTGAGCGCTGTGAGATACGTGTCAAATGATTCGCCGCTTTCTTGTTTTCTATTATTGAAGCAGTATCGCTCGTAAATGACATTTGTTTGGCCAATGCAATGCCTCTCCATCAACTCCAGAACTGTATTCATTACGTCCTTGTCTTCTTCTTTTTCGAACGGAAGACCATTGTAGACTTCGAGGGCTTCGGTTCCAATGCAGGTAATGAAAGTAGCTACACGGTATTTATCTTCTTGCTGGTTAAGACGTGAGGCGATTTCGAACGAATCCCACACTTGCTTCCACTTCTTCCAGTTTTCTGAAATATTTCCTGCCAAATTCAATCGCGACGGAATTGGTAAATTGCTTTGTATTCCATAACATGGCGTCGGCGCTTGAACACTCGCTGAACCTTGAGGTGGTGTAGTTGGCATCGTGTCGAAGAGGCTACACTCCTGGTACCATGTTTCGTTCTACCATAAACACACGATTTCTAGGTAACGAACAGTCTTTATTTGTAAACTAAGTGCGCTCTCATGTAGATATATGTGATCTTAAACCTTTTGCGATTAGATAACATCGACCGCTGTATCATGTGTCACCTGAGGTGCACGTGATCTCCGAGTGTGCTCTCGTTACAACAAGGACCTAGAAACACTAAAAACAGGACTGCAACACGCACTTGAAATTGCTTGACATCACCACTTCAAGTCCTCGACCCGAACATACATCAAGGAGTCGTGCACTACATGCCCCATTTTCCAGTTTTCAAGGATAGCAGCACAACAGCTATGAGAATCGTTTACAACGCTTCAGCAAAGATATCCGCAAAGGCATTAAGCCTCAACGATTGTCTTCATACAGGTCCAAACCTCATACAAAGACTACAAAATATGTTACTCACTTCAGATCTCACAAGATAGCCTTCACTGCAGATATCGAAAAGGCTTTCCTGCAAATAGAGCTCAACATTCAAGACAGGGATGCTACGAGATTTCTTTGGCTCATAGATGTAGACAAACCAGCGAATAATCCAGACAATCTAGTCGTCTACAGATTCTGTCGCGTACTTTTCGGAGCCGCGCCGTCTCCATACCTACTGAATGCTACAATACAGCATCACCTCCTCAAACAAGACGACTGGATATCAGAGTATTTACAACGTTCGATTTACATGGACAACGTTATTACGGGGACGGACACTGAACCTGAAGCCCTACAGTATTACACATCATCAAGAAACTGCTTCCAAAAGGCGGGTATGAATTTACGACATTGGACCAGCAACTCCCCTGTTTTAAACCGCAAGCTCAAGACGACGGAGTATACGCAGAGCCAATGGTCAAAGTCCTAGGCGTCAATTGGAACACAAAGACAGATACTCTGTCACTTTCATTAGCAAAACTTATCAAAGAAATCAACCATACAGAAAAAGTCTCCAAAAGATCAGTACTAAGCTTATCCTCAAAACTATACGACCCCTTGGGATTTGTAGAACCAGTGACAGTAAAAGCAAAAATAATGATGCAGGAACTATGGAAACACAGCCTACCGTGGGACAAAGAACTTCCTGACAGCTTTAAGGAGAACTGGGTCAAATGGCTGAACGAACTACAAAATCTGACCGCACTGGAAATACCCAGACAATACTTCAATGCTGTTGGCAGTGAATTTCAACTACACGTGTTTTGTGACAGCAGCCAGCTAGCATACGGAGCGGTAGCCTACCTAAGGGCAACCACCCTAAAAAGTGGGACAAAATGTACATTCATAATGTCCAAAAGTAAAGTAGCACCCATAAAACCACAAACAATGCCGCGATTAGAACTACTTGCAGCAGTACTCGGGGCAGAATTATCTAAATACCTATCAAATACCATACTTTCAAAGTTCTATACATCGCAAATTATACTGTGGAGTGACTCAAAAATTGTGTTATCATAGATATCTTCATCCAAGCCTCTACGACAACAGTTTATCCGACATCGAGTGCAAATGATTAGAGACATTACCTCGCAGAGTACGTGGAGATACTGCCCGACCACGTCCAATCCTGCAGACCTCATTACCAGAGGAATAGACGTTAAAGACTTTATATCTAAACAGCAGAGTTGGAATCAAGGACCCTCATGGCTTATAAAGCAAACACAGGAATGGCCATCTGTCAACGACAACCAGTTACAAGACAACAGAGGAAATTACACGGAGACCCAATCAATAAGCATTAATCTCGCAAGCGCACAAAAGAGCGCAAATTTACTGAACGTCATCGACATCACCAAATACAGTATCTGGAACAAGACACTACGAGTTACCGCGCTCGTTATACTTTTCACCGGGAAACTGAGAGGGAAAACAAAATCTGACACAATTACTACCATAGACATGAAACACGCTCGCATCGTTCTACTCCAATCTGTGCAACAATTCTACTATAGAGACATCCTATCTAAAATCAAAGACAAAGCTAAAAGCAAACGGCCAGCAATAATACAACAACTTAGCCTCTATTTAGATGATGATGACTTGATACGATGTCGCGGAAGGCTTCAATACGCACAACTTCCACACAACACCAAGTTTCCAATATTGATGCCGAAGGAGAGTCACTTGTCAACGCTTATTGTTAGAGCAACTCACTGCATAGTTTTGCACGGCGGCGTACGTGAAACCTTAACGGAACTCAGGCAGTCCTATTGGATACCTAAAGGCAGACAGCTAGTAAAAAAGGAAATAAGGAAGTACGTAACTTGTAGAAAAGTAGAAGGACCACCATTTCGCTCAGTTAACGCTCCTCCATTACCATATATGAGTCACAGGGTCCCAACCCTTTCAGGTGACGGGAATTGACTATGCCGGACCATTATACGTGCGTAATGCCCACAGAGAAGTCGGAAAAGTCTACATCTGCCTATTCACCTGTACAGCAATACGAGCAGTACATCTTGAATTAGTAGAGGATCAAACAGCCAGCGCATTTTTGATAGCCTTCAAGAGATTTGTAAATAGAAGAAGAATTCCAGAATGCATAATTTCGGATAACGCGAAAACGTTTAAAGCAGGTTCGCAAGATCTAAAAGCCCTCAAAACACAAGTGATGGAAGCAGCCGAGTCTCAAAGGTTTCTCGCTAACCATGGCATCAAATGGAAGTTTATCACAGAAAGAGCCCCCTGGTGGGGTGGCTTTTATGAGCGACTAATCGGACTAGTCAAAAGAAGGCTGAAGAAAATGATTGGAGACACGTCGCTGAATTCTATCGAATTACAGACCATACTTACAGAGATCGAAGCTACACTTAACAGTCGGCCACTTACTTATGCATATACAGACATCAATGACAGTCCACCCCTTACCCCATCCCATTTCCTCTGTGGACACAGGCTTCTGACACTGCCAGATACAGAAGAAGACTCCGACTACATCCCTCAAGATTCGGCTAAAGATCTAACTAGACGAGCGAAGTACCACCAGAAAATAATGCAAGCTTTCTGGAAACAATGGCAAAGGGAATACTTAACCGGTCTCAGGGAACAACATTCATCGCAGAAAAACAAAAACATATCGGGGGAACCAGTGACTCGAGGGAAGGTTGTTCTTATACATGACGAAACACCGCGAAATCAATGGAAACTCGGAGTCATCATTCAACTACATCAGGGGAAGGATGGGTTGGTGCGCTCTGTCACCCTAAGAACAGCAAGAGGAAACCTGATCTCAAGACCTATCGAGAAACTTTACCCTCTTGAAGTGTTAGCCGAGGAAGATAACCTACAAGGCTCTGAAGAGAAATTCAAGAACCATAAAGAAATTAGATCGACAGGCCAAAAACGAACACAACGAGCTGCTGCTCAACGAGCTGCAATAAAAATAAATGAACTCTCTAAACTTAATGAACTTTAAACACTATTACTTTTTGACAGTGTAAATATCTATGATCGGCATTTTATGGTGTAATGAAATCAGTACATTAACGGCTAATTATGTACGTATAATTAGTGTTCATTATGTAAGTCACTAATGAGATAAAGAAGTCTTGACTAACTAGAATAAACACAAGATCACACACAGTTCAGTCTGATTGATATCTCCGAAACAGTTGCTATGGTAAAAATGGAATGATTGTAAATCCGTACAAGCACCAGCCAATGATGCTTGGCGCGAACACTATTTATAAATTCTCTTTTCCCGTTAACGATTCAACTGATTTATTGGGTGTTACTATTGACAAGGATTTGAGCTTAATCGTCACATCACACAGATATGTAAGAAGGTTAAGAAACAATCTAGTGTTCTCAAGAGATTTAAAAATATTATAACCAGAGATGTCATGTTACGTTTATACAAGGCTTTCATCCTACCACACCTTCAAAATTGCTCTCTAATTTATTATTTTCTTGGCACTAGAAATTGTGATAAATCAGAACAAATGTATTTTACGATTTATTTTCAATGATTCAATGCCTAGTTATAATGAACTATTAAAGAAAGCAAATTCTTACGATACTTTTCAAGAGCAAATATATTTCTACGTGTCCTGGATATCTAAAAAAAAACTATTCGTTCTTCGTAACTCCAGTTATTCATTAAGAGGAAACAATATTCTGACCTCACATTTACCGAAAACAACAAATAACGGACCTGAATGTATCCGATGTCAAGCAGCAAAAATGTGGAATTCGCTCTCATACCGTATGAGAACAATAACATCATATAAAGATTTTAAGGCAGCCATAAAGAAAAAGAAAATGAACTTGTAATGGTAGTTTTAATGAACACATTTAAATAATTTAATTAATTTAAATATTTTCTTTTTCGAAGATGTTAGCGCAACAAAGCTACTTAGACAATTCGAGTTTAAATAAAGTGTATGTATGTATGTATTAATATAGGTATGTATGTATGTTTGACTCAAGCATCTTAGACAGAAGAACAATGCTCCATCATGCTTCGTGAGTTTTTTCGAGAGTAACCTACTGATTTTGAAGTAGCAGTCATGTTGATTATCTTCTTCCTCAATCAAGAGAAGATCAATGATTTTCTTTCTTTCTTCTTTTCTGGTGATCTGTTTTTATCTCTGATGAAATACCTAGGATTCTTCTCACTGATCCTGAAAGGATAGACTTTATGCCATTACGACCAATCACAGTGACTGGGATGCTGCCATAAATAAACCTGCTTATCTCAGTCAGCTTCGTGGGGAATTTGATTCCATTCCATCTCAGCTAATCCTCACATTGCTCTCTAGGTTGAACCTTTCAGTGTTTTTATCAACAGGATTAAGTGCTTTTTTAATGCACCAATGTAAACAGTCATTATCATCTTCGTTTTTCATGTTTATGATGACCTTCTTTTGCTGGAAATATTTCGGGAGTTTGATGTATGACGAAACTCTCGGTGCATCAAGCTGTGAAATGTATGTCGAGTAGGTGACCTTCATAAATCTTCAATTGCTTCCACTTTTGTTGAAGTTCTAAAGTTTCTCTTAAGGCGTCTCCTTGAAGATGTCACCTAAAGATTGTCAATCAATTCATTGCGTAAATGTGAATAACTGAACTGGACTAATCCATTCTCATTTTCTTTCACCATCTCACATGAGAGAATCATAACTCTCAAGACCTCAGGTTTGACTTTTTCCGTGAACTCTTCAACACCATATCCTTCAATGCCTTTAGATTGAAATTGTACTGCAAAACCTCTAAACGAACTTTCCGATTAAAAAGGTTTGAATGACTGACTGTTTATCGAGAGATTTCAATTAATTTACTTGCTTAATGTTGTTTTTCCTTTTTGTTCTTTTTGAGCTTTGCTTGATTGTTCTTAGTTTCTTTTTCAATCTCTTAATCTTTCTTTTTTTTTTTTAGGAGAAATGGGGAATGGTTTTTTTCCCTTCTGATGCTCTCTTTCCTTGCAATAGTTTTGCTTTTTCGACTTGTTTTGGGTTCGGTTTTCCAAAAGTTCAACAAATTCAGCCTTTCTGAGTTTTGAGTAGCCTCTGCGTCTGTGAAGTTTTGCTCCCGCTTCTAATTCAACCACTGTCATCTTTTCTATGTTATTAGTAATGGTAATAGGACGGAGTGAAATCCAAGTTTCCTCAAAATTGCCTCAATATCAAATTAGGCAGATAATTGTCTCAAAAATGTCTCAAAATCAAAATGTCAACTGTCTCCAAATTGTCTCAAAATAGAAATGACCTTGAATATTGTCTCGAAATTAATTGTCTCAAATTTGTCTCTCCTTTCCAAAAATGAGCCAGAAGATCGTGCTTCAAAATTTTATAACACAATCAAAATGAGCTAGAAAATTCTTTAAAAAAAAAGGTCAAAATCAAAATGACCCACAAAATTATTTTAATGCTGTCATAAAATCAAAAGGAGAAAGAAAATTCTGCCTCAAAATTGTCTCAAAATCAAAATAAACCTAAAGATTTTCTCAAAGTTATATCGTTTCCAAAAGGGATCCCGAGAAATGTTTCATAACACTATGCAGTGGTGTGGGGAGGTTCGGGTGAAATCTGAGCTAGGTTAGTGATTAATTTGAATCTTAATTCAGTTAATTAAAGGCTTACGATCGACTTCTTTAGTCCACATCATGTGTCGACGGCGGATGATTAGCAAATGGGAAATTGTACAGATTTTTGGCTTGGTTCCTACACGTTAATTGATGAAGCATATTTCAGAAGCAATATCTGTTGCAGCAGTAATTTGATTATACCCCAGATTCTTGGCTTTTTGTCCATTTGTTTCAGTATCTCCTCTTAGAGAAGAAGGCAGATCATTTTACTGAACACCAGCCCGATTTCTTTATTTCTACTTACCGTCTCGAAAATGCGACTAACAAAGTGATTTAGGAACTACATGGGAAATGTTTTGTCCGGGTTTGTCCAGGCATTGAACCTCAGATATTGCATTCACCACCGAGACTCTCCTCTATACTTGTGTACTCTGGTTGACAGCACTGTCGTTGTCTCTATTTAGATTCAACTCTCCTCGAGTTTGACAATCTTAACACCAGTTAAAATAGTCAAACTTGCTCAAACTTGTTCCTAAGTACTGATCAAAATAAGGAATTCGTGGAGGTGTTTCAATGATGGCAAATCGATATTCAAAAGCAAAAGCGAATGTGTCGGTGAAGATCCAAGGAAGCCATCAGAGTTCTTGATGCAAACAATCTTTATAGTCGGGCAATGTCAAAAGATCTTCCTTTTGGAAAGTTTACACGAATGACTGTCTTTGAGAAGTGAAAATCATCACCTTGCATCCTTGAGGTTGATCTTGAGTGCCCGTGGGAGATTCATGATTTGCATGACGATTATTCACTTGCTCCTGAGAAATTGAGTATCACCAAAGTTGAATAGCTCCTGCTAAATCTGAATGACCAGGAGAGATAGTTGTTTGTCATAAAGCACCCAAACAATATCTAAATCTTGATTTTAATATTAGACTGGTTCTTGCCTCAAGTTAATCAGTCACAAGCATGAGGTAACAAATACTTCCATTATTCTCGATGACCGCGCGGCCTTCAGAGATGTGAATGAGAAGATAATATCACCATATCCTTCCTCTTCAACTCTCCTCGATTTGTTAGAGTTAATCAAAATCTTCCAAATCTCATCCAGCGTGAAAACACCTTGATTTCCTGAAAGTTTTGCTCAGATGTCTCCTCTTCAATCTTTTTTGGTCAATGTTTTAAGCTTGTCTAAAGCTTTTTTGAAAAGGCCTTTTGTTAAAAAAAAAATAGCCGGAATGTCTCAAAATTGTGTCTCCAAATCAAAACGAGCCAGAAACTTGTCTCTAAATCAAAATAAAAAATAAGCCAGAACCAAGAAAGCCATTTTCTTCTTACTACCAAAAAAGTTATATAGTTAAACTGTTTTAACTATTATAACTACTTGAATCAATGACATAGATGGTGCAAATTTTTCCATCCACCTGCCTTGTTGAAGTCCTAAATGTAATAACTGTCCTAAATGTAATAAAGTCCTAAATGTAATAACATTTGGTCCTAAATGTAATAAAGTCCTAAATGTAATAACATTTAGTCCTAAATGTAATAAGCCTCTAATGCAATCGTTTAACTCCTGCAGTGCATTGTTGTAATGGCGGACATCTACATTGATAAGTTAGTGACAGCTGTTGCTAAAAAAAAAACCGCTGACCAGTATACATGTCACATTATGGGCCCGCTAATATCAATCAGCGTCTTTTTACTTGCTAGACATAAGAAATATCAGCAGTCGAAGTATGGTCCTTATAGCGGTTTATTGATCGAGTTGAAGAAAATCATTTCCAGCCCAAAGTGGGCTAGTGCTTGGCTGGAAGCTCAATAGGATGGAATCGATTGGTACGTAACCATTAAGACTTTTTGGAAAAGAAATTTACTACAGTTCGTATAGTGTGATCGTCCGGGTGAGTGTAGTTCTGAAAAGAACTGTTGTTGGTGACTGACGTTTCGACAACATGCGCAGAAGTCATCTTCAGAGTCAAGTGGAGAGTAGTTGTCAGTCGATGATGTTATGAAGTCTGGTCTGTTGAACGTGATTGGTCTGTTTAGCCGAGATGTGATTGGCTGGAAGACTCGTGTAGAGTTTGTAAACAGTCATTGGTCGGTTTCGATCCGTCTGTTGTTGGTCGGTCTGTTTGTCGGTTTGTTCACGTCGTTAATGAGTCGTTTGTAAGGTGCCGGTAGTTGTTGACATCTGTTGAGAGGCGTCTGTTCTAAGTTGATAAACCAGCTTTCCAAAGTCAGTCGTTGAAAATAGTTTGTACTGTAGGTTAAGCATTTAGCAGAGTCCCAGTCGATTCTGTGATTAGTTTGTCGGTGATGTTCAGAAATGTGATTGTTTACATCGCCATTTCTAGTTGCTCATTTGTGTTCAGTTAGTCGTGTGTTAAGGTTTCTACCAGTCTCACCAATATAGGAGGCCTGGCAGGCGGAGCATTCGATCTTATAAATCGCTCCCTGTCTGTTGTTGGGTTGGTCTTTGTCTTTAACGTTGGTCAGTAAATGTCGCAAAGTAGTAATAGGCTTGTGAGCTACGCAAATGTTGTAAGGTTGTAGGATCCGCGTGATAGCCTCAGAGGTGCCTTTGATGTAGGGTATACTAGCTGTAGTCATGACAGATGTGGAGTCCCTGTTAGTTTCTGTAGTGTTGGTCGCCCTGTGAGTGTTTCGTCTAATGAAGTCAGTGTTGTAGTTGTTTTTGTCAAAAACACGGTCAAGGTACTTGTTTTCGTCAGATAAACTGTCCGGTGTGTTGCAAACAAGTTGTGCTCGTCTTGTCAATGTCTTGATAGTCGTAGCTTTGTGGGAAGTCGGGTTGTAGGATGATTCGTCAAGCAGTCTATCGGTATGCGTCGGTTTTCTGTATACTGTTGTTCGTTGTTGTTTCGGCCTACCAAACAGTCGAGAAAAGGAAGCTTGCCGTCTTCTTCGATCTCCCTGGTAAACTGAATGTCGGTGTGAAAAGCGTCAATTTCGTCTTTGTGTACGGCGGTAAATGTGTCGTCAACGTAGCGTAACCAAAGCGGTATGGTTTGTCGGCAAGTTGCAAGGACGCGTTCCTCGATGAACTACTGATACTCCTGGGTTCAAACCATTTACTTCACAAATTTACTACAATTGATGATGAACTAGCATGCTATTGTTGATGTTATCGTTCGTGTTAAAGTCTTTAGAAGTGATGCACCATTTTAGAGCAGTTTGAATGATTTCGCTGTGTCACATGTTAATCCAAAAGAAAATTATTATTATCAGTAGCGTTATTGAAATATCTTGCTCTGCAAGTCACATTATCATATAGCTAGCAGCGCACGCGGGCAAGATGAAGTGAATCCTGTGTTCTGATTGGCTACCTGGGCGGGCATGATGGGCCCACCCTCGCCCGTTCGGGATCCCCCGTATTGATCCCACGCAAGAAACTTACAAAGTTCGTAACTTTTGGACAATGTTTTCATATATACATAGAAAAAATAAACGACCCTCTTGGGTTTATTGTGCTGCAAACACGGTTGGCTTTCACCATCGGCTCTCGAAATAAACAGGCCATTCTTGATTCTTATCAAAGCGAAATCTTTTGCTACACAATGAATCCTTTAATGATTAAGCCAAGAGAATATAAACTCTCTTGTATGGTCAAGATTACTGGATATTAGCCTCGTTCTTTTTCTACTTTTTTATGGACCGTGACTTCGTCTCAGTCCATAAAAACGCAAAAAAAAAAGAACTCGGCCAATATATTGCCATTTTGACCTCGCGTTCGGTTAATAACGCATATGAATATATTTTATGCAAACCCGTATAAATCTGGCAAGGGAAGACAGTACAAAAAATGCCCTTCTGAGCCCAGAATTTGTCTAACGTATAAGTCGGTGGACTTCTTTTTCCTTGTAATTTGGTTCATCAAGTGTTAACTTCAGCACTGAGGACAGAAGTATTTCGTCAAAATCTGTTACACTTAAGAGTCTGAGCCAATGATATAGAGAGAGCTATTAGTCAACGTTCTCGTTGCTTTTGCGTTCGTCAACTTGATGCCAAAAACACATCAGTATTAGAATAAGGTTTTGTAGCCAATGCTTCTCAACCTACGTCGTTAGCAAATAAAAAGCCGCTGATTAATATCAGTGAGCCCGCAATATTCCATAAATATTGGTCAGAGGATTCTTTGGTGCAACAGCTGTCTCTTAACATCTCAATGTTAGCGCAGTTAAACGATTGCATAGGAGGCTTATTACATTTAGGACCGAACGTTATTACATTTAGGACTTTATTACATTTAGGACAGTTATTACATTTAGGACTTCAACATGCCTTCCCTACTTTGATTATTTAACTAGTTGATCTATTAAAGCTAGATTGTGCAGTTCAACTTATTAAGTTGGTTGTGTATATTGTCCAGTT